GGGGGGGGGGGGGGGGGGGGGGGGGGCTACAACCTCCATTAAAATAGCATCCCGTCCAGGAAAGTAACAATATTGCGAATTAGTTCATGCTATGGAAAGCACAGTTAAACGCCAACACCCATGTGTCCCTCCTGTGTTGCGGCCAGGAACCTGTAGCCATTCCGCCTCCGACGACTCACGGCTGAGCCCTCAGTCCAACAAAAAAGCGCAGCTTTCATAAGCAGCTATAAGATAAAAGCCCAGAAGTCGACCCCCCTAAGAGTGAACAAGTCGTGTATTTTGTTACCTTGCATCCATCACACTTCACAGAGCGCATGCCTGGTTCTGGTAACAGACCCATTCCGCAGCCACGGCCTGGGCACAACACACCGCCATTCTTCAAAACAAACTCCTCCGTTCCAAACCTGTGATATCGCTGATACTGCAAGAAAACACACCGTATTGGTAAGAAGACAAAATTTCAACCCAAGACTTAATACAAAATTATACGCCAAAAGGCAAATCTTTGTTTGCGCAAAATTGCAAAGGAATAGCGCAAGTACTAAGTCTTCACGCTTTCAACTTCGTTCATATTTCCTTAATTTCTCTCCTCGCTGTAGTTAGCCATCCTCATGCACTTCATTCCGAATAGCAATTCCGTTTCCAGAGGCTGCGATCCTTTTGATCAGCACCAAGAAATCGCGACCTTATCGGAAGGTGAGCCGGCATAAGTCAGAGCGGTTACTCTCTCTACGCATGTTCAGAAACCGTTATTGGACTTGAGTGCATCTGCAAAATCATTCTGGTTCCGGTTTTTGATTTCGTCCTGAGCGCCAAGCGTTTGGTCGTGTGGAATGTTTGTTGGTATGTGTGTTTTTGTGCTTTTCAAAATGGTAGCAAATTTATGACAGTGCCAAGGGTTTAAACAGAGGATCAAACGGCTGAGCATCGCGATGACTTGGTCCACTAACCTGATCCTCACTGAGCACACGAAAATGATGCGCCTCTGAAATAAGGGCACTGTTGCAGCTACCTGCAGAAAATGTTCACATCATACAATATTGGTTAATCCTTCTTTCAACAAATGAATTGCTAGAATCTGCTGGACCACTTTAATTTATACCATAATCCGGATTTTTTCATTTTGCAAAGTTCACTTTTTTATGCGCTGAAACGATTTCCAGCAAAATCATTTTCCCTCAAAATTCGATTAACTATCGAAACAACTAACACCACCTTCTAATTTAAAAGAGCCTCTAATTTAGGGATATTTGCTCAAAACTTAAATCAAACCGTTAAAAACCAAACTACTGCACGTACGGTAAGGGAGCAGACCCCTTCAGACAGATTCTTAGAGCCGTGACACCATAGAAACGTGTGGGCTTCGGGGGTATGTTACCCGTCTTCCCCCGGAAACTGAAATCTCTGGGTTTTTGAGATGCTGTTTCCTGCGTTCAGGAAGCATTTGTCGGCAAAAGACTTAGAAGGATAGATATTAAATTACTGAGCATAGAAAGAGACTAACGACTTCCAGAAATGTCACTCTTCAAATCTTGCAAAAATTGATTGATCGCTAGTCGCTCTTCCCCCCGTCCCCTCCTCTCCCCCCTACCCTATCGAAAAAAAAATAAAGAGAGAGAGAGAGAGAAAAAAAAACCTGCATCAACTCGCAAAATAAAAATTCCGCCAAAAAATTTCACACTACGCGCTTAAGGGCAAAAAAAAACCTTTATCCAAAACACGATCCTCCTTCTGGGATTTCTTCATGCCCAGATGCTAAAATGTTTTCAAGTTCGGGGCAAAAATTACCATATGAAAGCAATACAAAGACTGAATTACGTCAGTAGATCGAATCATATTTCGGATCTGGTTTACGTCACACTACTAACAAAAGGCCATTGTTTACTTATTGTTGACATTCGGGTGGCTTGAATTGAAATGAGTCCAAGCTTCGTCGAGTGTCCACCAAGCGCGACAGGAATGAAAGCAAAGCCCAGCTAAATTTTCAAATCAGAACTCTTGAAAATGCCGCAAAGAATGACTTTAAATTATTGAAGTCTTTCTGGTTAATGTCGTAACAGGAGATTTCGAGCCCAACTTCGCAGGAGAGCCTAATTAGGAAGATTAAATTGGTCAAGCGGATCCAACGAGTTTCGATACCATTGTCGGTTTGAGCGCCACAAGAATTGAATTCAATCGAACACAGAAGGAAGAAGCGCCTTGCTGATTCAACAGGAAAACAGCAAATTGAACGACTGTACGTGCCACATATCGTAAGTATGTTTCACTTTACTTTACTTGGGTATAGCACTAGCAGAGCACGCCATCAAAATAAGCGATTTAGCGCAAAGAAGCTCGAATCTCGCATTAGCATCGCAGCGATCTGAGCTCGCGCGATTTGCATAATTGATATAAACCTTTCAAACGCTGGATTCGACGATTTCACAGCGTTTGAATCCATTCTGGAAGGGAATCTTCGACCATCCTCGAAGCGATCGAAGAAATAAATCTCCGCGATTAAAAAATGAAGATAAATTCAACAGACGTACACGGAATCAATACTGATCGCAAATTTATTCAAAGTTGCTTCGAGTGAACTTTATTCCCATCTTAAATAACAGAATATAAAATTACGAAATTTATCTTCGAGCCTTCACTGAGGCATATAAAACTGAGCCGCAAGTCAAATGTTAACATTTGTATCCATGCATTATTGAAGTTCCAATACAAGAGGACTGCTTTATTTCCGTGGGGGGCAGTTGGACAGTGTAGTATAAACGACTCCCGAGCAATACGAACTGTACAGCTGACTGTACTTTCAAGTCGTCATAAGTATTGATTCTCCGTCTCTGTCTCAACAAGACCTCCTTGAATGCCACCCACGGCTTCTAGGCGGCCATAAAGTTCGCATAAACGGACCTATCCTTCGAGATATACTATGCACGTGTCGGGTCTTTTTCTAATTTCTCTCCCACGAACTATTCATGGCTGAATCTCGATTTGTAAGCGGCTTATAAACATTGTTCGGATCGTGGAAAGTGTTTCCCTGTTTGGGGTTCTGAGGGCATGCACGTTTTTTAAAAGACCTCTCTAAACCCTATGAAACGCCATTTCTTGGAACAAATGAGAGTAAACTTGATTTATTTCTAGCTCCACCATAATCTTGGGCGCCGTCCACGGAGATTTCACTTCAAATGTTCTCCGTCCACACCACCCCGGAGGAATTTAAAAACGTAACAATCAGCGTACATTTTGTGTTTGTGCTTGATGAAAACCCGGACAGTGAAATTACATCATTATCGTGACAACATCGTAGTCGAAAAGCTCTGTTTTCAAAATATTTTCCATCCAGACTAAAACGCAAAGCCGGCGATTTCAAATTCCTCCGGTTTGAGGAGCGTTTTCGAAAAGCTCCGTTTTCGTGACGGATTAGTGTGGACGGTAGGCCTAACCGTAGAAACAAAGCTGCGTTTTCAAATTATTCCGGCGTAGTGTCGACAGGGCCTTCAGTCGTGTTGTCAAAAAAACGCGTAAGTTTAGTTCCCACTCAGTATTTTCTCAGTTTCTTATTGTAGTTTATTTGCTTGTCCCATCCACCAGCTTGTGTGCGTGTTTTGTTTATTCGTTTATTTATTTTCGCTTTTTTTCAACTATTTTGAACAGGCAGAAAAAAAAACTCAAAACAAGAAGAAACTCTCTCACAACAGAAATCAACATCACACGAGTTTCATGATGTCCCATCAGCCTCAGTCAATGACAGTTGCCGTGGCAACTGTGTCTGACACAAGCACAATGGTAACTGTGGGGGAGGGGGACAAAACGTCGATGGTTGAAATCAGTCTTCCTGGTCAACAGACCGTGCAACAAAAACATGACGTCCCCAGTGAAGATGTCACCGGGACAGTAAACTCGTCCCGTTGGACCGACCCGGAAACCATGGCCTTATTAGGGCTTTGGAGGGCAAACTATCGAATTATTAAAGGCAAGAAAAGGAATTATCAAGAATGGAACATGATCGCTAAAGAGTTCAACCGTCGTGTCGCTCACTGCTCGCTGGGCCCCCGGACGGGTAATCAGTGTAAGGTGCGGATAAAGAACCTGCTCGCTGAGTACAACCGAACCAAGGACCAGCTGCCGCATTCCTTTCCATATCATGATATACTCAAGGAGATCATCAACAACAAGGGAGCGCCATACAACGAGGAAGACGTGGTGCGTATTAACATCCCGGCGGAATTGACCGGTGATAATGTTATGAGTACCCCGACAGTTGTTACGGCTTCTCCGGCTGTGACCATCGCCATTCCCTCCGACACGGTCACGCCCAGACCTCTACGCTCCATCAAACCAGCACCCCCGACCACGCCCCTAAATGCCCCGATAGCGAGCCAGGTTGGACAGTATCCCATTCCAGTACACGTATACACGGAGGCAATTCCTCAGACAACTCAAGTGACGCCACTGAATGCGGAAACTGTACAACAGAGCGTTCAAAGCGAGGAGGATTCCTCGGACGATGATGACAGCTATCCAGAAGAGGCGACTTTGCGGGGCATCAAAAGGCCCCACAGCGCGTCCTATGATCCGGTACCCAGGAAGAAGCCAAGAAAGAACCCCAGGCCGGGAAAAGTGGTACAGAGCAGGCAGGAGGATCTTAGCATGATCGCCATCTTGAGAGAGTTTTTGGAAGACAGTCGCAAAAGAGAGGAGGACTTATTTAAGAGAATTCTACAACAGCAGCTTGAAGCGGAGAGCAGATATCAACAGTTTACACTAGACGTTCTGAAGGAAATCGCAAAAATGTTCAAGAAGGACTGATGGTGTGATTATGACCGTAAATGTTCAAAGGCAAGAACTACCTCACACACCTGTTATATATATCTGCGGTTGCCGAAGCCAACAAAGTTGAATTTTTTCAGTTCCGCGAAACCCTCTATCCGAGATTGCGCCGTTTAATCTTATCAAGAATTTTTTCCTGGCCCCAGTTGTTCCAAAGAATGATGACGCTACCCATAAGATAAATCCCACTGGATAGCGCAGATGGTACTTTAGTTAACCTGCTATCCTTTAAATAGCGATGCATCCAGTGGATAGCGTTATCTACCCTTTAAACAACTGGGGCCTGGATATTTGTGTTAAAGTAACATTATTACCCAATGTTGTTTGACTTGTTCATATTCTATTTAGAAGTTTTTGTCCGCGAATTTGTTCAATAAGTTAAAAGCGTACTTGAAATTAAAAGTAGGTCAGACTGTTTTGGTGTTATTGTCCATGTTTTCATTTTATCGTGGCCGAGCTGCAAAAGATGGTTTGTAGTTTCGAGCCAAGCGAAGATCTGTACACAGATGTGTGCAGTGTTTCGGATAGGTCGCTTTACGCGGAAAAATTCCAAAACAGAGCAACAAACAATGAGAGAGACACACTTCATGGATCTTGTAGAACTACCTAAGTCCTCAAAGCTCCGAAAGTAACGACCCCTCCCACAAAGTAGCGACTCTCCGATAAAATTCCATGGCTGGAGGCAAATTTCGAACTTAGGGAGCTCCCGAAAGTAACGACCCCTTCCCCCAGAGTATAGCTTCTCGGAGAGTGGCCAGACTGGGAGTGAAAAAACATACATTCTTATATAAAACTGAATTTTTAAAGAGAATCTGATTAAATCTTACCTGAGCTTCCAGGGCACGGAAGAGTGTACCCGTAAGAGTCACTGTGCACAAACTGTCGGTCGTTAAGTTTTGTTGTGCAGTAGACTTCGAAGCAGTCCAAGCACACGGCATGTCCATCAGCACATGGAAAAACCAGAACAGGATCTCTGAAAATCAAGAAGGTAACTCATGAAGGCAGGAATGTGCTCTCGAAAAGTGTCTGGGAATCGTAATCTACTATAACGACGGGAGAAATGTTCTGAAGTGATGTGTCAAATTGGTTAAGGCTAGTTTAAAGGAGCTCAGTCACGGAATTTCGAGTTATTTTGGCCACATACAAAATTTTTCCTTTAAATTGAAACTAAACATAGTTACTAGGTTACTTAGATTGATAAACGCCAAAGAGTCAATAAACCATAAAGGAACACGGATGGTTAAGGATGGAGAAGATTAACACGGATTACAAATGTTCCACGAACTTGAGTTATTTAGGCTAAACTTTTCAAGATAGGCAAACCGTGACGTAGCTCCTCTAACTGGTTGGTAGTACTTTAGCATTCTGTCATTAATAGCTACAATCTTGATCAGAATAAAATAAGAAACAAAACAACAACTTCCCCGAAATCAATGATGACCTCGCACTAACACCAAAACGCACCATTATCTCCTGCACTATAATAAGAGTAAGCTATTTTTGAAGGCTAATCACTTGAAAACTCGACTAGGTAAAACTATTTCTATATGACCTATTTCTGTCATAAATACCCACACAACAGACATTTTAAAAGTTTGTTGAAGGTGTTCTGAACCACCCTTCATGTATTACAGAATAAGATAGTTCTCAGAGCCCATTTGTTAGATTCGGTACTTTCACTTACGCAAAATCGATCGACACTTTTTAACTCTTGTGAACAACTTTAATTTTAAACATAAACTATACAAGATAACTCTAAAAGACAAACAACACACAACAGATGGTACTCATTTTTAACACCACCGACGGCATCCACTGACGGCCACCTTAACAACAGCCACAATAGCCGCCGTTTCCTCTGTCCTCAAGGTGGCCGTTGTGGAGAAGTACCACTGCACTTCATAATTAAGACTTACTTGACTAAGACTATACTTACTTGACATCTGTGCAGGCTAAGCAAGGGATATCTCTGGTGTTTGAACGCATCAAATTAAGTGCAACACATCTGTCACCTTCAGCAGCAGGATGCATTGCACATTTAAAGTAAAACTCCTGGGAAAAGGAGATCAGAAAGACAAATATTACAGTAAGGATACTTAAGCAATGAACACTTCTTATTTCCTTTGGGCATTTTATTTTTTGTGACTATAGAATGAAGACTCTTCATAAAATGTACAAAATTAGCGTTTTTCTACTGTAAAAATGCTAACTATCTTATTAGAGCAAGGAGCCCTCATTCTAGATATATTCACTAAACTTGTGAAGTGTTTAAACAGCCAGAGTGTCTGTAAAGGAGCAATATAGTATAATATGATTTGCAAATTTAATAAGTAAATTTTTGTGATATACAATAGGCCAAATTCTTATCCTCGGGATTGGACTGGAACTAGCTTGCAATGGAGGCTCACGCGGGGGAATATCATTTAAGGTAATTCCTCTGAAATAAAAGTAACAATATATTTTTGTTCAAACTTTGTCCACTGAATATTTGTCATATGATAACTTCAATTTTGAAATAAAAAAGGGGGGTGCCCATGCTCATTAAGGAGC